TAACAATAGCACTTATGTACTGCTTCACAGTGCTTCTACAGCCCTCTCTAAGCAGCTTTACAGAGTCAGCCTCTGGCCCCAAACAATCTGGGTCCTCCTTTTACCCACCTTGGAAGGACGGGAGGCTGAGCCAACCTGGAGCCTGGTGAGATTCAAACTGCCAAATTGCAGGCAGGCAGAAGTATAGCCTGCAGTACTGTGCTCTGACCACTGTGCCACCAGCGGAGCAAGAGAAAGCCCCGGGGGAAGCCGGTGAAATTGCACAAGAGGTTTTGGGCAGCAGAGCAGGGGAGGTGGGCTCACTTGGGCAGCACTCAGAAACCAAGCCCCCCCCATGCCCCCATTCCCCGAACTCCCCTCCCCTCGAGAGGGGAGTCTCCATCGAGCCTGCCACTTACCGATCAGGACGCAGAGCTCCTGTGGCAGCTTCCGGCCTCCCGTGGCCAAGACCTGCCTCCCGACATCCTCAAAAATGACCGGCCGAGACTCCAGGTTCATCATCAGCATGGACCGTAACTGGGTCTTGGCCCGTTCCAGCTCAACCTAGACGGAGAGGCAACGGGGCTGCTTCAGGCTCCAAAGGGGAGGCTCTCATCCGAGCCCAAAGCCCCGACCTAAACCCTCCTCCCCAACCGCTTACCTCTCCCAAGGTTCCAGCCATTAACACAAATTCCCGGGTAATGATCTCCACCATTTCCCGGACCTGCAATCCGAGGAGACGACGCGTTGGAGCCAGGCGTGAGGACCCGGCCAAGGCCTTTCCCCTTCCTGAAGGGCGGAGAGCTTTGGGGGGAGACCCCTGGGCTGAGGGCAGGAGAGGAGGCCTCCCGCTCGCCAGGCCAGGCCAGCGGGCCCTGGGGATGGCTGCTTCCCTCCCTCCCTCGCCTGCCGGCCTGCGAGATGCAGCCCATCCCCAAAGGGCTGAGAGAGGCCAGGCCTAGCAGGCGGGGGATCCGTTCTGAGGGCCCGTTCACCTGTCTGGGATCCGCGCTGGCGTGAATGCACAGGAGGCCAGTGTCCTCGTAGCTGTGGTGGTAGGAGGTGGCGTTGTACATCCAGTGGTGCCTGGGAGAGAGCGAGAGAGCAGCCGAGAAGGGGACAGGGGGAATGATCAGCAGCCTTGCAAGGCTCCCCAAGAGCCTCTCGCAACTCTGGGCCCTCCTCAAGAGTCGGACCACATGCCCTATCAGCCCCAGCCCAGGGAAGGCTGCTATGATGCAGAAAGGAGGCCAAGGTATCGGATTCCTGAAGAATTCTGCCAAACTCGCAGGTGCATTCGTTCCCCTGGCTTCACTCAGGCTACATTTATTGGGAGGACCCAGGAAAGGTCCACTGTGGATCTGCGGTTCCAGATGCCTCTTTCGGGAGATTTTGCCAAGGAAGGGCCTGGTCAGTCACCACAAAGGGGACAGAGGTATCTGGACCCAGAGCAACCAGGAGTCAAGCCTGGGGTGGGATGGAAACCACGCTGGTCCGTCTCACGGATGGCCAGGAGGGTGGCAGTACGACCTTCCAGGCTTCTGACTCCAGGGTTCTCCAGGACTGCTGGGAGGGCTGGGATGAGGGACATCATTATAGGGTAGCTCTCCTTCTCCTGGAGCAGGTGGTTCCCTTGGGAGGCTCCATGGAGAAGATTCAACTCGCCTGGAGCTTCAGTAGGGGTCCCTCAGGGCTCAGCCCTCTCTCCAATGGAGCTGAACAGGAGAAAGACCCCCTCCCACTGGTACAGGACGAAGTAGCTCAATGTGCTGGTGACACCCAGCGATCGATCCTCACCCAGGGCAGTCCTGGGAAGCTGGAGTGGGACAGAACCCACGTAGTATCCAGGCAACCGGGAACGCTGAATGAGTGACTCTAGGGGGAGACTGCAGCCCCAAGGAGTTTGCCTGGCTTAGGGGACATTCTCAGGACCCTTCAAGTTAACAGACATGCTCTTCGCTGCCTGTTGTTGTGGTGACGGTGCCTAGAGAGCAGAGGATGGCCTCGAGGGAGGATCCACTGTCACAGCAGCAAACAGAGCTCACACTATAGGAAAGAGACCTGCAAAAATGCTTAAGGCAGCAACCCCAATTCACATGAAATGGGATGGTGGGAAGCATATTCAGACCTGCAAGATTCTGCTCCTATCAACACTGGAGTAAAAGTGGCTTTAAGCCTACACGGCACCTGTCTCTTCATCTGGTCTACCTTGTAGGGCTCAAACTACAGGCCTGGTTCACATACTGTGATAAGCCGAAGTGGTTCACTTGGTTTGGCTTTAGCCTGTGGTCTGTTTGTAAAGCCATAATTGATGGCTGATGTCAGATCCGTGTATCTGCCATTCTTCAATGGAGGAAGAGGCGGGGGAGGGAAGTTGGTACAAGTAATCCTTTTTGGATGTAACTTGAATATCTTAAGTCTTGTATTGAATCTGTATAATTTGCACATGATATACAACTGGGGGACTGAAGACCAGTTGCCTGGAAACTTGTCACCTCTTGAGAGAGATAGCAAGAGGAGAAGAGACCATAAAAATTCCAGCTCCAAAAGAAACTTCCTGGGAAACTTCTCAACTACGTTCCCAGAAAGAAAAGAAAAAGGGAGGGGGGAGAGAATTAACATGTTGCTTCTTTGTATTGATGAAATCCCCATCAGGCTAAGGGGAGGGGTTCTAACTCCCTTTATCTAAGCTGCATGTCTGGAAGGATATCAGATCCTGCTTTGAACATTGTCTGGCTATCTTTTTCAATAAAGAATTCCTTTCAAAATACCCGGCTTTCTGACGTTCATTCTTATCGTTTGAAGGAGGGAGTCGGGACCTTACGGCTGGCTTAGCATGACTCAGGAGCTCTATCACCGCTGGGTTAGCCACCCCGCCCCCTCCACTCCACACTCAATGTGTAAAGTAGCTACACAGGCTTCCTCCTTTCTCTGTTTGGACACACACAGACCAAACCTCCAAACGGAAGGTCCCCACTAGCGATGTGAGAGGGCCCTTCCCACCACCGTCCCCGCGCTCAGCTTGGGTCTGCCCTTCCTTCTGAGAGAGAGGCCCAGGGACGTACCGGTTGAGGACGTTGAGGTACAGCCGCGTGAACATGCCTTTGCCGGGGCCTCCAGCAGAGAAGGAGCCGCCGCCGCCCATCATCATGTTCAAGACGGCGAAGGGGATGAAGTCCTCCTCCTGAACCAGGGAAGCCAAACCAGACGGTCACTCGGGATTGTCTGAGCAAAAGGGCCGCCACAGCCAGGCGGGGGAGGGGGACGCTTACCAGGAACGAGCAGCTTTCCAGTCCAATCATGATGTGGGCCAACTCTGGGATGGGGGTGGGCCCTAAACTCACGTCCGACATGTCCTTCTCCAGCTGCAGAGAGAGGGAGAGATTCCGCGGGGGGAACTGGGCTTTTGTGCAACGAGCTGACCACTGGCTCTAGAGAAGGGGTGCCTTCTGGGAGTTGAAGTCCACCAGGCTTAAAGTTGCCCAGGTTGGAGGCCCCCGCTCTAGAGCAGTGGTTGGCAACCACTGGGCTGAGGACCACTGGTGGTCCCCGAGAAAATTTTGGTGGCCTGCAGAGAAATGTCACTCCCAGAGCAATTAATCCAGGCTGCGTGGGAACACAAGGCTGTGCTGCCCACATGGCCCGCGGGAACACAAGACTTGTGTCGCTTGCATTGCGAACAACATGAGGTAGCAAGGGGAGGGGGGGAAAGGGAGGGGGGAACTTGCCCCATTCACCCCACACATCTCGCCTGGTCATTGGGCTGCTTCTTTCTTCTTCTGCTTTTGGCTGCATGCAAGGAAAGCAGCCAAAGTCTTTCTTTCTCTCCCCCAAACTCCGCCAGAAATGAGTCTTTGGGACCCTGCAAGGCCTCCTGCTCCAAGAGGCTGCGCTGGCACGACAAGTCTCACAATGACTCATTTCTGGCGGAGTTTGGGGGAGAGAAGAAAGACTTCTGCTGCTTCCCTTGCATGAAGCCAAAAGTCTCTCCCCCACCCTGAGAACGGAGCTAGAGCTGGAATCCTGCGATCCCAAATAAAGAATGATCAATTGGTAGGACGGCAGCCCATCATACGTGCAAACGGGCTGGCAAGTACGGGAATGCAGGGCTGCTGCAATGCTGAGGCGGGAGGTTGCAAGTCTCTTTGTTCACCCCGTCATAATTTCAAACTGTCACTGAACAGTCATAAGTCAAGAACGACCTATACTGCACACCCTTCCCAGTGGTGGGATTCAACCGGTTCGCACCATTTTGGCTGAACTGGTTGTTAAATTGCTGGCCTTCCCCATCCATGCACCCCGTTTTGGCTCCCAGGTAAGTGCAGGGAGGCCCAAAATGGGGTTTGGCGCCCCCCCCCCAGCCCAGTTTTGCTCCCGGAGGGGGCAGGAGGCCGAGGGCTGCCTGTTCCACACCCCTGGCCACGCCCACCCAGCCAGTCATTAGGGCAGAGAACGGGTTGTTAAATTATTTGAATCCCACCACTGATCCTTCCCAGGTTTTTATCACTTTAACTTTGTTCTAGCTGCCCCGAGGACAAGTTTAAGGCAATTTCAAACCCAATTTTAAATCAGAACAAATCATTTTACGAAACCCAAGAGATGCAAAGGAGGCGTTGCTTCCCAACATGCCAAGCCAAAGTCCTGGCCCTGAACTGATCTCCAGGTTCGTTTTTTCTGCCCTTTCTGCAGAGCTTGGCAAGAAGAGGAGAGGCCGCCTTCCCTTTCTCACCTTCAGGATTCCTCCTGTGTACTGGGCAACGGACCTGTCCACATCCTTGGCTTCCCCACTTCCCCAGGCGGGGACGGCTCCCAGGAAGTACTTGCGAGCACAGTCCACCAGCTGCTGGTGTTCAACCCCCACGCCAGCCAACACCATCCTGTTAGGGGTGTAGTAATTCCTCAGGTACGAGTGGAGAACCGCCCTGTCAATCTTCTCGATGTTGTCTGCAGGGCAGAACCTGTTCAGTCCCACGGTGTTCTCCCTGTAGGCTGCCTGTGGGAGACCAGGAGAAACGAAAAGGGTTTTCCAACGAAACAAGGCAATGACGAAACATCTGTGGCCTCATTTCCTTGCTTCAGGATTACTGTTGGCCACGTGCACCAAGACGCGGGAAGAGCCCTTGCTGCTCGATTTTACTGATAAAAATACAGCGGTCAGCCTCCAAGAATCCTCCTTCGGCTTGTCTTTCCGACTGCCATAGAAATGGGGGAAGAATAATTGAGCTTCGTGGGGGGGAAGGTCGCTGGAGGTTCAAGTTGGTGAAATGTAAAAGTTGGGGTGTTTTCTTGACTATGCTTACTGCGCAGACGTAGCTCCTTGTCCAAGCCAAGGTCAACCGGATGGGCAGTTTGAACTATTGGGGCTGGGAACACTGGCATAACTTTCTCTATGTGATTTTTGAGCCTGTTGCCTCAGATCTTGTATTTCTTCTGCTGCTACTTCAATTTCCAGTAAAAGTCCTTTCCCCTAGAACAATGGAGTCTAAGGTTTTCTTTCTTGGGTTTTGAATGGAGCCTCACCTGACACCCCCCGTCTGGCCCAAGCTACATCCTCAGAATCAGCAATGAATGGACCCAGAGACACAAGCGATAGCAGTAAGACTTAGATGCCGCTTCACGGTGCTTGACAGCCCCCTCTAAGAGGTTTACAGAGTCAGCTTCTTTCCCCCAACAATTTGGGTCCTCATTTTACCCATCTGAGGCTGAGTCAACCTGGAGCCTGGTGAGATTCGAACTGCCAAATTGCAGGCAGCAGAAGGAGCCTGCAGTACTGCGCTCCAACCACTGCGCCACAGGCGGAGCGAGAGAAACCCTAAGGCTGGGGAGGCCGATGAAATCCCCCAGGGGTTTTGGGCAGCAGAGCAGGGGAGGTGGGCTCTAGTGAGCACAAGGGAGCCACCCTACCTGGGAAACCAACGTCTCCTAAAGGCTCTTCTAAGCGTTTTGTGACGGGTTCCACTTTTATGCAGCTGTGTGATAAACCTGGATTTGAACCCAGGTCTCCCTGATCCATGGCCTGAAGGAATCTTCCTCCGCCCCCTGTGTCAGTCACAGCCCGCAAGCCGTTCTCAGTGTGAAGTGCTTTGGGCCCCCAAAGGGGCCTTGCAGCAGTGCGGCACCTCCCCAAAGACGGTGGGTCTCATCTTGGGCTGCACGATCCCAGCAAAATACTGGTTTCATTTAAGGAGGAATCAAAAGTGTTCCCCCCCCCCCCCAGTGTCAACCTGTCAGTTGGAAGGAAAGATACAGCTTTTGGGGTGGGGGGGCAGCGTGCAATCCCAACACTCACACAACGCCCCAGGCTGACTCTGCATTCCCCAATGCTGCACACACACCCCCATGACTGAATATTTCCTTTCACTCCCCAGACTGCAAAACAATCAGCAAAACAAGGTATTGTTTGATCTTATTGCGCCCCACCTCGCATGATGAACCCCTATTGCTTATCATAAAAAAGGCCAACTTGGGCCTCGCTTGAAAATTATATTTCAGGTCCTGCATCCACACCGCTGAAAAGGGAATTTTCAACAACACTGAGGAAGTCGCCGTGGGCCCCTCAACTTCCTTAGGGGTTGCCCCGCCCAGCATGCTGATAACTGTGTCCTTCCCCCACTTGCCCCCCAATTCAAGCCAGGCAATTAGGAGGAGGTCATTGAGGGGCTCAGGGGCAGCACGAGGCAGAATGCCGGAGGGCCTTACGGCATGGATCATCTCGGTCAGCAACGGCTCTGGATCGGGTCTCATGTTCAGGTCCTGCAGCTCAAAGCGGACTGCCATACGAGTCATCTCGATCTCCTCATCTGCCAAGAGAAGCCAACCCTTTGGGACCAACCTCCTCCCATGGGACAGTGGCCCAAACTCCTTGGACAGGGGGGAAAATTGCTCCCAATTCTCAGCCACCAAATCCCACACAATCAACCCGGGTTTCTTCCCAGCTGATAAATCGGATTGGGCACCCCCACCTATTCCCCTCCCACCATCAGGGCCTCTCCCACTCCTGTCCTTCCAAATTTTGCCACTGTGTCATGTTCTCTGCTGGCAGAAATCACTAACACCTTTATGGCAACGCGATTTGTGTTCAGGTGGGGCAGCAAAATCCTGCCTGGCTCTTGCTCTCTTTAGTCACAGAAGACGATCTCACCTGGCAATCTACTTTTTTAACTTTTTTTTTTTGTTTATTACCTGACAGTCTGGGCTGGAGAACCACATCAGCTAAGAGACTGACCATGGCGTCAAGGCCCTTCCTATCTGCAGAAACGGCATACATTGTGGTATCCCTGAAAGAAGAGCAAATCGGCTTTATGTTCCACTGGCACAGGCACGTTTAAGACCCTGCAAACAAGGAACTTTACAAGTCTTGTGTGAAAAATGGCACACTGTATCACTCAAACCAAACTCAAATGACATTAAGCCTCCCTGTGGAGGATGGAGGTGATTCCATAGTAAAATGAGAGCTATGAAAAGTATGCAATTATATAATAGGTTCCCCCACTTCCAGTCAAATGAGAGCTAAAATGAGAGCTAGGAAAAAGTATGCTATATATGCAGTAGGTGCCCCCTCTTCCAGTCAAAAGCCAACATCGCTTGACTTAGATTTGTCAAAGCACCACCTGACCAAAGGACGCCTAACAGGAAACAGACCTTGACACCTGGCAATCACAAATGCCTCCGTGCTTCTCCAGCGTGAGAAGAATATCATCCTTGCTGCTAAACTGAGCTGTAGACTAAAGAGAAAAGGAGAAAACAAAAGCAAAGGAGTTCATTTTTTTCAGGGAGAACTGGGCCAAGAAGGCTAAATAAAAATTAACTAAATTATATACAGTTCAGCGGTTACATGCAATAACCAATTTCCCTGGAGTGTTAACATCAGAGATTTGCTGGCACCTTTTGGAGACGAACTGCACCAATGTGCCACCGCCACCACCCAAAAAAAGGCTAATGCAACCCTAGGTTGTATAAACAGAGGCATAAAATCAAGATCACGTGAAGTGTTAATACCACTTTATAATGATTTGCTAAGGCCACCTTTGGAATATGGCATCCAGTTTTGGTCACCACCAAGTAAAAAAGATGTTAAGACTCTGGAAAGAGTGCAGAAAAGAGCAACCAGGAGGATAAAACATGTAAAGAACGGCTGCAGGAACTGGGTATGTCCAGTTTAATGAAGAGAAGGACCGAGGGAGGCATGATAGCAGCCTTCCCGTATTTGAGGGGCTGCCACAGAGAAGAGGGGGACAAATTATTGTCAAAAGTACCAGGGAAGCAGGACAAGAAACAAGGGATGGAAATTAATCAAGGAGAGACGCAACCTGGAATTAAGGAGAAACTTAATTAACCAGCCAAACAGAATTTAGCCTTTAGAATTCGTGGCCGCTCCATCGCTGGAGGCTTTTAAGAAGAGACTGGACGGTGACAGTGACAGAGATGGCATAGGTTCTCCTGCTTGAGCAGGGGGCTGGACTAGATGACCTCCAAGGTCCCCTCCAGCTCTATTCTGGCATTCTATTCCTATGAATTCTGCTCCATTCCTATTTTATTTCTACTCTATTCCTAATAATTCTATTTCTAATGGCTCCACTCCTCATTCCTATCCTATTTCAGGAGGACTCCAATTCTAGTTCGGTCTTCTCAGCCGGACCTTCCGCTTTTCCAAGCCCGATTCCCGAAGGGGCCACTTACCGAAAAGGCCAACTTCTCCAGAAAGTGGGAGATCCCGCTGGGGTACTTGGCTTCGTATCTCGACCCGGAGTTGATCAGGACTGTTCCAGGGGCAGAAAAGGGGTGAGGGGAGGAGGAGGAGGAGAGTGAGCTGCGGCCCCCCGGCGTCGCTTCCACCCGCCGCCGCAGCCGCCTCCTCAGCCGCCCTCCCGGCGCCCCCTTACCGCCCAGGGTGCAGAACTGTCCGAACCTCTTCTGGGAGGCCACGCGCAGCCCGCCCTCCAAGGCGCTGACCTCCGTCTCGAAGCCCTCCGGCCCGTCCAGGCCGGCGAAGGCGGGCTTGGGCAGCCCCGGCAGAGGGGCCGTTAGCGGGGTGCCCGGGTAGCCTCCCCCGCTGCTGAAACGCCGCGACCCGGCGAGCCTGAAAGAGAAGGAGGAGGCTTGAGACCCTCGCCCCGGGATGGGAAATGGGACGCTGCCCCCCACCCCCCTCAGCCGGAGGGCACGAAAATCGAGGCCGAGGCCTCACCTCCGCGCCGGACCCAAAAGGCCCCTCCGCACCGCGCTGGCCGCCATCTCGCTCGCGGAAAAAGAGAGGGAGGGGGAGGACGCCGATTGGTCGCTCGGGTGACGGCGCCGGCGATTGGCGGGAGAGTCCCGCCTCTTCCACATCCGGAATCGGACCTGCGACGGAAAGAGTTTCTTCGGTCGGCGACGGAAGTGCCCGGAGTGGCAGTTTAACCCCCGGGGCATGCTGGGAAGCGCGGGAGTCGGGGGAGAGGGAGACGGGGAGGCCGAGGCCTGGTTTGGCGGAGGAGCGCTGGGGAGTGGCGGGGAGGCCAGGAAAGGAATAAACCGTGGTTAACGCCCCAGACCAGAGGCCTCCAAACTTGGCCCCTTTAAGGCTTGTGGACTTCAACTCCCATTTTACAGAATCAAAACAACTCAGCCTAGCTGGCTGGAGAATTCTGGGAGTTGAAGTCCACAAGTCTTAAAGGGGCCAGACCATCATTTGGTAGAGCAGCCGTGAATGGCTTGGAAAAAATACTACGAGAGCTGAACATAATAGTAGACTCCCCTCCCCGCCCCCGGTCAGAGGATGAAATATTTTGGGTAATATTAAAAAGAGGCAGAATATTATATTTCCCCAAAAGGAGAAATGGTGCTTCTTGCATAGTAAAACAGTCTCCAAGCAGAGGCAAAAAGTCAGTAGAAATTGGTATTTGTGTTTATATTTTAACATTTTGGACACCTAGAAAACACACTGTTCAATATGGAATTTGTGATACAAAACAAAAATATTTATAAGCAAAAAAGGATAAAAAAGGAAGAAATCTGGGCCAATCTATTCACAAACAAAATACCTTTAGCTCACTTGAAGGGAAGAACCCCATTCACTGAGAAAAGTGGGAACAATACAGGCCCATTGAAGAAAGGCAGTGTTGGAAGGAAAATCCATCTGGTTAGTTCCAAACTGGGAGGAAAGAAGCCAGAAATAAAATTCAGGCTGATTGGAAAGAAACATACCCTGTGCTACTGTTGGAAGAAATCTAGGTTCGGTTCCAAGTGGGGAAAAAAGACACTGGAAACTTTGGTTGAAACTTAGTGGGTGGTGCAATGAAGGGCAATTGAATGGCTCTGCCTAAAGGAGATAGATCTTTGTTATGTAGAATAGACTGGCCCAGGCCTTAATGGGCCATTAACAAAGGTGTGTGTGGGGGGGTGAATTTCTTCCTCTCTGAGTTTCTACTTCTCTTAGGGGAAATATTCAGCCTTTTTAATATATCCTAAAATATTTCATTTTTTCTATTAGAGGGGTGGATTTTAACTTCCCACACTACTAGGCTTGAAATTCTCTGGATAATTTAGAACTGCGTCGCTTGCGGTCAGACCTAGGGATTGCATACAAAACTATACATAGTAATGTTTTACCTGTAAATGACTTTTTCTGTTTTAATAATAATAACACGCACGCAAACAACCACTTTAAACTCATTGTAAATCGCTCTAAACTTGACTGTAAAAATATGATTTCTGTAATAGAGTTGTCAAAATCTGGAATGTTCTACCTGATTCAGTTGTCTCAGCTACAATTTTTCACAGTTTCAATCACAAATTGACTTCCGTGGACCTTACTTCATACTTAAGGAGTGAGTAGAGGGTGTGGGAATAAGTGCATTAACGTTCCTCTGGCCCCTGTCATTGTAGTTTTATTCTTCTATTCTTGTTCTCGTTTTTGTTTGACAAATTCTAATTTATGAATACTCTATTAATGAACAGAATCACCGGGGTTTGTGGTTCTGGGACAGCTGACTCAAATGGTTGAATGAGTGGATGGATCTTTATAGGTTTCTGTGACTTTGACGTTTGAACTGTTCTGGGGGTTGTGCAATGAAGGGGGTTTGTGTTCTGAAAGAGTCTTGGGCAATTCCGATGGTGTGGCTAATGGCTTTCATTCTGGGTTGGATCTTGGGTGAGGGGCTTCTTGTTCTAATCCTACCACTCTGCTTTTGTTAGCTGTCAAACTTTACCGCAAGGAGTGTCAAAATATCCTGTCTTGATTGGACTTCTGCTGGCAGTATTTGCTGTGCTTATGAATTGAGCCATCTAGGATCACCCAATAATTTAGCTCTGCCACTGCTAGTGTTTCTTGTGAATGGACTCAAAAGAATTCACATGGAAGGAAAATTGTATAAAATGCTTGGAGTGTGGAAAGAATTCTGTTAACACACATCACAACACATCAAAGACTCCACAAAGGAGGAAGCCCCTATCAATATCTGCAATAGATATAATTTTTTAAAGAGTGGATACTTCAATTTATATCTAAGAATCCACACATCTGCTGTGCTCTCTGAAATATTTTGCCTCTTGAACTGAAGTTTTCCTCTGCTCTTCCAGGAAAGCCTTATTACCCGTTTCTATCTGGCCTGGAAATAAATCAATCAGTTGATTGAAGGTCCACCCTCCCCACCATATATTTTTGGTGTTAACCTATTTAATTATTTTTAATAGCACGTGCTTTAAAGCTTTATAGTGCTTTACAGCCCTCTCTAAGCGGTTTACAGAGTCAGCCTCTTGCCCCCAACAATCTGGGTCCTCATTTTACCCACCTCGGAAGGACGGAAAGTTAAGTCCAACCTTGAGCCTGGTGAGATTTGAACTGCTGGCAGTCAGCAGAATTAGCCTACAATACTGCATTCTAACCATGGTGCCATCACAGCTCTTAATTAATTTTACATTAATTTTAATCCTTTTAATGTGTAGGAAGAAATGTCTCTGTAAGGCCCAGACTCTCTCCCCTTCAAATGATAAGAATGAACTTCTGAAAACTGGGTATTTCAAAAGGAATTCTTTATTGAAAAGGAAGCTAGCCAGGTAATAATCAAAGCAGGGTCTAATAGGCCTCCAGGTATGCAGCATAGAGTTAGAACCCCTCCCCTTAATTTGATGTGGATTTCATCAATACAAAGAAACAATGTTAATTCCTCCCCCCTTTTTTTTCTGTGAATGTAGTTGAGAAAAATTTCCCAGGAAGTTTCTTTCAAAGCTGAAATTTTTATGGTCCCTTCTCCTCTTGCTATCTCTCCAAGAGGTGACAAGTTTCTAGACACCTGGCTCCAGTCCTCCAGTTGTATATCATGTGCAAGTTGTACAGATTCAATACAAGACTTAAAATATTCAGGTTGCATCAAAAAGGATTACTTGTACCAATTCCCACCCCCCCACACACTTCTTCCACTGAAGAATGGCGGATACACGGATCTGACAGTCCCTCTGGGTTCAGTTCCAAGTGGGAAGAACGACGCTGGGAACATGGAGACTGCTTGGAAGGAAGGTTTAATGGAGCAGAATCTTTAAGCACCTGGTCCTGGTGCAGCTGAGCACAGGGAGTGGAGAGAGAGATATATTTATATCCTCTCTTGGGTCTTGCAAGAAATATATCCTGTTGGTTGTCAGACTCCCTGGGGGTCACGCAGGGGTCCAGCTAATCTTGTAGGCTGTCTGTGTCCCAGGCTTGGTTGAACCTTGCTGGGTGATAATGCAGTGAAGAGGGTTGGGTTCTGAAAGAGGGTTGGGCAATTCCTATTATGGCTTAATGGCTTTGTCCTGGTTTGGATCTTGAGTGAGGGCTAATCCTATCACCCTGGAGCTGTATAATATCCTGTCTTTTTAATATTTCCTGGAATGTTTCATTCTTCTAGGAGAGGGGTGGGTTTCTCCAATTTCTACAACTTTCTACAAATATTTTTATTTTACTGTAAACCAGCCAGAGTCAGTTGGGATAGTGAGGCAGGCGGCATGTAGACGAATGGTCTGTGAAATGAAAAATCAGTGTCATTTCAGGTTATACACTGTGGCCTCAATTCCAGGCCTTTGAAACCCAGAAGAAGTCTTGGGTTCTGAACTGAACAGTTGCTGCTACACCAGAAATTGTGCTTGGCAGCCGAGCAGGAGATAGTACATACAGATTCAAGCGTAAGAGAAATGTGTTTCAAACCGTGAGACAAGCCTAGCAGCCTTTTTCACAAGCAACCCATTTATTCTCTAAGATCAAAGCACTGGAGAGGATTCCTAAGTGTGTAATAAAACCCATGGAAATGAAAAAAAAAAACCAAGCCCTGAGAACTACAAACCAACATTCTAGCCCTAAGCTACAAATATTCTACACAAGCACAAATAATTTCTGTCTCGCTTCAAAGACCGAGCCACATGAGCTGTGAATCAATAAAAGTTCCTGCTGTCACAGATTGGCTACTGTAATAACTTTCTGTATCAAAAGTGTTTTCACGGGTCATACATTTTTATACAGAAAGCTTTTGCAGGTTCTCTTAAGTCCAAACATTACTTCTTTTAAAGCTGCCGATGCACAAGAAAATTGTCCAAATCGTTTTAAGAGAAGAGATCCTAGAATAGCAAATATTGTCACCGAAATGCTATTTTATTAGATGGTCACAAATGGTGCACAGGATGAATCAGTGTGAAGGACTTCCTGGCTTGGCCTCCTCCTCCTCCTCCACTTTCAGCAAGGAGCCGCCTCTCCTGCTCTATGGGAGAGAGAATGGCAGCTATATCAGCCTTGCCCTTGTGCACTAGTACTTCATGTTGGGTGGGTGTGAGTGTATACACATACCCTTTAATTTCACAGTGTGTGATGGAGATAGTTTGTTTCACTCACCTTTGGGAAAAAGCCTCTGTGATGACCCAAAAGGGCGTGGCACAACGGCAACACAGTCAGATAATCAATAGGATTCCCTTTATTAGCTCCGGCTTTGCCCCCAAGGTCCTGGTTACCTTCTGGCTAGAGAAAAACTCTCCCAGGTGAACATCCTTTGGCTGCAGAGAATCAAGTCCAAAACGCGGTCAGCAAAAACTGTAACTACAAGTCCAATCAAGGCAAAATGACGTAATGAGTCTGGCAAGGCAGCAGCAAGAATTCCAGATGTGAAGGCACAGCAATAACTCAACACGGTTGGGAAAAAGCCAGGAACACAGATAAGCAAAGTCAACACAAGATAAACTCACGTTTATTCCCAGCAGCTGCCGCACTCAGCATGCGGCTCTTTTAAACTCTCATTCCCAGCTGTGGCTAATGAAGGGAATCAGGGCCCTTTCCTCCCCCGTAAGCCAC